TTCCCTCCTTTCCCCCTTCCCCTCTTCTACCTCATTTTCCCCATTTCCCTCCTCATTTTCTCCCCACTCACCCCCTTTCCACCCCCTTTCCCTCCCCCTGCCCTACCTGCTGCAACTTAGGTCTTAGTGCAGAGAAAACTCATTTAATCCACTCCTCAGCCCTCAGTGACTCCAACTCTTTTGCCTGTTGAGCTCCCTCTGTCAATTCCCTGCCAAGAGCCTTTTCCTTCCTGCTTTTCCTTCATTTGCCACAAACATTGCACCATATTCCTAAGCATTTTTGAGCATTGCACCCCAATATTCAGTGCTGATTTGCACTCCAAATTCATGGGGTCTTGCCTAGCAAATGGCCTTGATGACTCTGCACCCTGAGGCAAAAATGATCCAAGATTATCTTCTGACCTCTCCCATTTAATTGCTGCAAAGCACAGACTGGAACAAAACCTCTTCAAAGAGCTGAAATGAAGCTGAAAGGCACCAAATTGCCTCAATTCCCTGTGCTGCCTTAGTTGCTCAGCTCTGGTGGCTCCTGTGGCTGCAGGAAAAGTGCAAAAAAAAAGGAGAATAAAAGTGTTTTTAAGTGGATGTAGTGGTGTCAAACCTGGGGCAGAATTCCAGGCTGGAATCTCCCTGGAGCAGGCAGGGAGAGGGAGAGGCAGCTCAGTGTGTCTAGGTCAGGCAGGGATGGAGGGGCAAAGAGAAAGCTTTTTACAATGATTTATGCCCAGAAATGGCTAAATTCTGGTCTTGTTGGTCCTTCAGAGCTTGGAATCAGGGAAAGGCTGGGAATTGTAGGTGCTACTCTCAGGAAAAGCAAGCAGGTCCTGGCTGCTAGGGGAGGGAAGGAGTGAAGCTATTTTTAAGCCAAATGAACTGTTTTTCTCATGGGCTAAAATATCCTGACTCAGCTGTGAAGTCAACCAGAAACTATTTGATTAAAGCTCAGGTGTGTGTGGAAATTGGGAGAGTTAATTAACCCTAAGGAGCTCTGTCCATCCTGTCTGTCCCAGAGCCATTCCCAGACACAGGGAGTTGGCAAGGAAGGGCAAATCCCACTGATTTCCTTGCCTTGAAATGGAACTGAGCTCAACACAAACCCACGCTCAGGCATTGACTCTTGAACTGTTCACCCAAAATTCATGTGAGTTTGTTTCATTTCTCTTTCTCCCTGAGCAGTTTTAGGGGGTGACTGCCTGGGATTTGGGGGATTGTCCCAGTCAGACATGGGGGAGGGAGCAGAGTGTGGGTGAAGGGCTCAGAGGGCAATGCCAAGTGCCACTTGTGCCCTAATTCTCACTTACTTAAGTGCTGTAGAGTTAGATGAGGCTTTTTGTGCTGGATTAGCACCAAAGTGTTGGGTTCTAGGTTAGGCATTTCACTCTCTTCAGTGTCAGAAGAATCACAGAATCATTTAGGTTGGAAAATCCCTCTGAAGACCATCAAGTCCAACCATCAATCCAACACCAGCACCATGTCCATCACCACATCAGTCCTGAGGTGTCAGAAACACAAGTTCCAAAGAGCTGCAGTCATAGACTCATCAAGGTTGGAGGAGACCTCCAAGATCATCAAGTCTAACCATTAACCTGCCATTCCATCCTCAAGCTGCACCAGGGGAGGTTCAGGTTGGACATTAGGAGGAATTTCCCCATGGAAAGGGCTGTCAGGCACTGCAATGTGCTGCCCAGGGAGGTGGTGGAGTCACCACCCCTGGAGATGTTCAAGGAACACCTGGATGTGGCACTTAGTGCTCTGCTCTACTTGCCAAGGTGGTGATGGGTCACAGGTTGGACTTGATGGTCTTGGAGGTCTTTTCCAACCTCAGTGATTCTACGGAAATAGGTAATATTTCAGCTCAGTTAGGAACAGTTTTGGCCACTGAAGATTCCAAAAATGGAAGAGCTAAAATCCCAGCCTAAAATCCCCCAAATTTGGAATGAAATTAGTGAGTTCCTTTTCTATTCCATGTTGCTTTCCCCATTCTGTGACAACATCTCAGCCTCATGTTTTCCCTCCCATTTTCCTTTGAACTCAGTGGAACAGGTAGGAGCCACAAACCCCATTGGCTTCCCCTTGTGTGCACATCCAGTGTCATTGCTGTGCTCAGACTCTGCTCAGCCCAAATCCCTCTGACTGCCACAGCCTTCACTCACAATTCCATTTCCCTCCTGTAATGACACTGATGAATTCCTCCCATGGCTTTGGGGATGGAATATCCACCAGATACCAATTCAATTGAGTATTGTTGTGGAATTCATATTACTGGAAGTGTTTGTGTGGAGGAAAATCAGAGTAGCTTAGGGATAAGAGCAGCTTGGTGGGTCTGGACAGAGCTGAGCCATCACATACCCTAAATCAACCCTCTGAACCTGATGGAACTAAAGAGAGAGTGCTGAGCCCCCAGAGACTCTGTCCATGGATGTGAGCAGTGCTGGAGTGTTTGCCCAGGGAATCAGAGGAGCTGATCAGCACTAAGTCAGATCCTCCTTCCTTGGAGTCTCTGGGTTAAGGGAAAGGTTAATGCATGCAGTGACTGTGCTGCTCCAAGCTCATAGCTCCTTGGCATGCAGCTCACTGACATCCCTGAGGAGAACAGGATTGATGGACATGTTTTTAGCCAAGGAAACAGTGAGGAAACCATGGGCTGCTCCATTGCCATCCAGGAGCCATTCCTGGATGCTATTCCTGCTCTTCACACACCACCTCTGCCCCTAATTTCTCCTTCTGGTGCTTAACCCCTGGTCTAACATCCCTTTTCTCCTCCCTTCCTCCTGCTCCCCTTTGCCACACCATGGGGGCCTGGCCTTGCCCCAGAATAGTCTGGAATGGTTACTCTAGCCCAGGGAACCATAAGTTCTGTGGAGGCAGCAGAAACCTTTCCTGTTTCCAACATTCAGAGGTGATGGATGGAGATGGGAAGTGCTAGGGATGCTGCTGTAGGCATCAGCAGCAGGTCAGGCCACCCCTACCCCTCAGTGCCCCCACGCTGGGGATGAGGGAGTGGAAGTTTGTCAGATATTGGCATTTCTTGGGGTGTTTTTTTGGAGGTGCCTACAATTTTTTACCCTGTTGTGGCTGCTCCATCCCTAGGAGCGCTCAAGGCCAGGTTGGACAGGGCTTGGAGCCTCCTGGGCTAGTGGAAGGTGTCCTTGGCCAAGGACAAATGAGATTTGAGGTCCTTCCAACCCAAACCAGCCTGGGATTCCATGAGTCCATACAATGACCAGAAGTAACATCAGGAGCTTTCAGAGGTGTCTTAGCTAGGACTAAAGCTCTAAACTGTGACCAAGCAGGAGTCATTTAGAAGAATCTCCTGAAGGAAAGATTATTGTGGAGACAGAGCTGCTCAAGACCAATATTTCCTTCTCTGAAGTGTGTTAGAATCAGCTCAAACTGATTCTTTCAGGTGCATTTGCAGAAATGAGATAGGAGCTGTCATTGTGTGCAGCTATTCCCTGGGCCATGGAGCCTGCAGGACTTCCAGGCATTCACCTCTGAAGCTCCAGCAGCCCCAAGGACTCACCTCAGTGGGTATCTAGGTGTGAGGTGTGTTTTTGTATGAATAGCAAAGACTGTTTATTGCAGTTCAGCTGCTCCTGAGGATTTGACCTGTTCCCATGTCAGTGCTGTGTCTTCCACTGCAACTGGAGTAACCTCTGGCTCTGTGACCCTTACAAATGGTTAAACCTCATCAAAATGGGCTATTTTAAGTGCAAAACCCATTTGTGCTGCTCTGAGAGCAAAGCTTGGATGGTTGCCCTGTGCAGAGGTGGAGCTTGAGGCTAAACCTTCCTGTGGATGATCCTGTCTCTGTGGGTAGATGGGGAATTAGGGAAGCAAAGCATTTCCTGCTCAGATGTGGTTGAGTGGTGAATGCTGATGGGCAGTGCTCAAACCAGTCCTGCTAAGCCTTTCCTTCAGCTTTTCCCACTGGAAAATCCTTGCCCAGTGTTTGTACTTTGCAGAACATCCTTTGCCTGTGAGTGAACTCATTCCTCCTGTGATTTTTCCTGCAGCACCAGAGAGTTGTCTGTGCTGGGAGATCCTTTCCCAAACATCTTTCCTTACACCTGCAGCTTAGAGCAGAGAGGGTTTCTGTGCTCTGCACAGCACCTTTGGGTGGCTCTTGCCATGCTTGGCCCTTCAGTTTGTCGAGCTGAAGGTGCTCCAGGCTAGTATTAGAAATGCTAAAAGTAGGTGGTTTGTTGCAGAGAAACTTTTCTCAGGTGTAAATTTGCTATGGAGAGGGAAAACATTTAAATGGTAGGGAAATGCAAGATTAAATACTAAGAATGATACATGATTAAATCTTGGGAGTGTGTTAGAGTCTCCATCATTCAAAAGCTTCTTGAGAGCAAATCTTGGCAAAAATGGGAAGCTTTGGACCATTGAAGCAAAGATTGTCTCACTCCAGGGGGGAAAATGAAAGGAAGAGAATGGTTTGGGTTAGAAGGACCTTAAAGCTCATCCAGTGCCATCCCTGCCATGGAAGAATGGCAGGAGAAGAGAAGCTCCATGAAGAACTTAGAGCCTCTTCCAGTGCCTCAAGGGGCTCCAGGAGAGCTGAGAGGGACTTGGGACAAGGGATGGAGGGACAGGACACAGGGAATGGTTCCCACTGCCAGAGGGCAGGGACAGAGGGATATTGGGGAGGAATTCCTGGCTGTGAGGTGCTGAGACACTGGCACAGGTTGCCCAGAGCAGCTGTGGCTGCTCCATCCCTGGGAGTGTTCCAGGTTGGATGGGGTTGGAGCAGCCTGGGCTGGTGGGAGGTGTCCCTGCCCAGGGCAGGGGTGGGATGGGATGGGATTTAAGGTCCTTCCAACCCAAACTGTTCTGTGATACCTCAATGTGCCTGGAGGTCCTCACCACCAAATCCCATAGGATGAAGGATGCTGAGACCTGAGCAGACAGGACTGGGACACCTCAGGCCCCTGTAGCTGTGCCCCTTGGTCTGTGTGTGTGGACACCTTGGGTTTGCAGGGTGTTCCTGCCTCGTGCCACGGAGGCTTCAAGTGCTGGAAACCCAGAGCAGCTATTTGCAGGGAAATAAGGACATCCTCCCCCAAAGAGCTGTTGCACTCCGAGGGGATTTGCCTGTTGTGAGGGGTTTAATCCTGTTAAGAGAGATTATGCCTGGTAATTTTATGCACATTGAGTCTCCCTCTGAGGCAAAGCTGAGGCACTAAACTCCTCACTCAGCATTCCAGATTGGATTGGAGCTGGTGCTCTGCACACAGAGAGCCCAGATTCCCTCCCCTTCACCCTGACAATGCTCCTGGAATCATCTATGGAAATGGGATTTGGTGGGTAGGAAGAGAAGATCCAAATTACTCCAATTTGCCATGACAATGCTCCTGAAATAATCAATGGAAATGGGATTTGATGGGTAGGGAGAAGACCCAAATTCCCTCCCCTTTGCCCTGCCAATGCTCCTGAAATAATCAGTGGGGTTGGGATGTGATGTCTAGGAAGAGAAGACCCAAATTCCCTGCCCTTTGCCCTGCCAGTGCTGCTGGAATCATCTGTGGAACTGGGATTTGGTGGGTAGGGAGTGCCCCTGGAGCTGAGGCCGGGGCAGAGCCCCCATGGGCTGGGAGGCTGTGCTGGGTCTTTCAAAAGGTCTGTTTTTCTTTCCTTTTTTTTTTGTTGTTTTCTCCCTTTTGTTTTGTTTCTGTTTCTGTTTGTTTTCAACTAGGACCCCAACTATGGCTGGTGGCCTATTTTCTATTGACAGACACTACTTTGAAGAGATAGGAACTTACGATGCAGGAATGGATATCTGGGGTGGAGAGAATCTTGAAATGTCCTTTAGGGTAATTCCTGTTTTCCTTCCTTTTTCTCTCAACACTCCACACTTGTGCTCTGATGCTTCCTGTGCCACTGCCAGGGCTCTGAAGCTCTCAAGGGTTGGGCAATGCCTCATTTTGGTAGTGGTTTGTCTTTTTTTTGCATGAAAGATTTTAATGCTGATTGGGGTTTTTTATGCTTTGAATGTGATGTGTGTTTTGCTAATTCCTTTATCTATAAAGGAGATACATATAATACTATCTAAAAAATGAGGCTTTGTGAGAGCTGGCACAGATATTGATATGAATTTATACACCAAACCCCATCAAATCTATGTTTTAACTCAAGTTTTCGCACTGATAATGTCATGAAGTTGCAGGTTCTGCCTGAGATTTGGGTTGTGTGTGAGGGGAATTCCTCATCCCCCAGGAAATGGCTGTTCCTGCAGGGCCAGATCCAAGTGCCCATGACATGAGGGAAATCTCTCTGAGGGACATAACTGTCCGTGAGGTAGAAGGGAGTTTGGCAGGTGGAGGCTGGGGAGGGGATGGGTGGGAGGGATGGTGGGAATTGCTGTGGATGTCTCTGGTCTGGCACAGCTGGTGCATTTCCTGATGGCAGCTCAGCCCTGGGCACCTGCCTGGTACCCACAGCACATCCTGGGGATGCCCTTTCTGCCTTTTCTCTCTGCTTTGTACCCAGCCAGGAGCATTTGCTGTGCCAGAAACCCCTTGGAAAGTTTTCTATGATGCAGAGATGCCTAGAGAAGCCCAACAGAGAATCTGAAAGCATTTTCAGCCCATTCCTCTAAACCATCATCATCCCCTTTGCAGTAAAATCGAAGGGTTGAGTTACTACTTCTGAGCCTGAATGTTTTAAATAAGTAATTTCCCATGATCTGCTGTATTAGAGCCCTCAGATGCTCCTTGGGTGTGTGGAGGCTCCTGGATGGAGCAGGTTGGTTTGGCATGTCTCAGAAGAGATCCCTGGGGCACAGTGCCTGGCACTGCTGGAAGGCATCAGAATGTACCTCTGGGGCTAAAGCACTCGAGTTCCCTTCAGTGCTGAGCTGAGGGAGCCACTGATGAGCTTCACTGCTCGAAATTCAGTGGGAACAGCACCACGAGATGTGAATTGCAGCTTTAAATTGAAAACCTCAGTGCAGAACACATGGAAAGCCAAAGCCCAGTGATATCCTCACTCTCCACAGCAATCCCTGGGGAGGAAAGCAGAGCAGCAGCTCTGCCCTTGTTCTCACCATCCAAACGAGTCTATGGAGGATAGAGGAACATAACAGGAATATAAGGACATAAGAAGGCTATAAAATCCTGGTTGAGGCTGAGCTTGGAGGAGGAAGGAGAAAAGACTCAGGAATTTTGGGGCATTGGTTTAGGTATCATTATTTTCTGTCTCCAGAAGATTCTCCCTCTTCAGCTGGGATCACCATTGCTGCCTGGAGCACAGCACAACCAGAGGCTTCGGGGCCAAGAACAGGGGGAAAAGGATGAGCTTCCAGCCCTGGGATGTTGCCATGGGAAGGACAGGGAAGCACCTGATGTTGGTTGGAATGTGGAGCCTTTGGGAAGAAACCCAACAAATAGTGCCTAGAGTAGGAGTTGGTCAGTGACAGGAAAGGTGGTTAAATCCATCTCAGGGAGCACATCTGGAATTGGTAGCAAAGTGCCAAGGGCTTGGGGAGGTTCCTGCAGCTCCAAAGCTGCAATGAGCCAGTGGCATCTTGGAATAGCTCCTGGCAGGCAGGAAAACACTGAGGCTGAGTGAAGCTTTGGGAAATGACTGCAGTAACAGCCACAAGGATGCTCCTAGAGCTCTGATTATTCATTGCATTGAGTGTTTATCAGCAAATTGAGGGGGAGGTTGGTGTGGCTTCAGCATTCAGCAATTAACCCCCCAAAACATGTGGGTTTGGGGTTATTTCTGTGTTTGCTAGTCCCTGAATCCCCCAGAAAGTGTTCCAAAATGCCTTTGCCTTCCCTGGCCCCAAACTGTGACCTTCTCATCTGCCTCCAGCTGGGACTTCATCCCGAGCGTGTTGGCTAAGAGGATTTGCAGCACTTTGGGTGTCTCACACTCCCAGGCAGTTTGGGAAGGCTCTGGAGCAGTGTCCACTGGGTCTGATTGGATTGTTTGTGGGGAAGTCAATATTTAGGCTGCTCCTTGCTGATTGCTCTTTAATGCCTCATTTTAGGGATGGCTTTTAATAAAGGAAATTGGGGAGAAATACCAACAGTCCTGGCAGGAATCTCTCACAGCCCTGCGAGAAATCAGCAAATGCAAAGCTCTAAGCTTTGGGAAATGAAAAACTTGATTATTCCTAAGTCTTATTTTTATTTATAGATTTCCTTCAAGAGTTTTAATTTTCTGTTATATTTTCTAAGTGGTTTTTTTTTCCCCAGCTGGAGAACACCCTGAGAACTTGCTGGGCACAAAGGAGCTCATGTGGCTTTGGGAAGGGGATTAAAAATAATCTGCCCATCAGGGAAAAAAACAACAACGATTATTCTGTGGAATAATCCAAGTAGGGCAGAGCAGAGCTGGGGGAAGCAGATGCTCTCACAGGGGGAAATGCTGTTTGGTTTGGTTTGCTGGCAGCTGCAGGTGCAGGAGAGGACACACAAGTGTGGATTTCCTCAAGGCTGCGACACAGTGACATGTTCTTGGTCTCTCCAATTCCTGGTTTGACTGTGGTGGGAATTCTTAGAGTAAAGGAATAAGGAGGAAGGAGGGTTAAGTCCCTTGTAGCTGAGTGTAGTGTCTGATTAAACAGCTTTACTTGCTGATCCAAGTACTAGATGATGACACCTCTACTTGATCCAAGTTCCCTGGACCTGATCCACCGGAGGATGGTACCTCTACTTGATCCAAATTCCCTAGACTTGGTCTGTTAGGGGATGACACCTCTGCTTGATCCGCCAGAGGATGACACCTCTCTCAGTGAGAGGGGAAGGGTTCTTGCTTGTGTTCTGAGGACACAAAACCTAGGTGACCCATTCACACAAGCTCCACTTTGCAGTTCAAGTCTCTGCAGCTTCATTGCTCTCCAGAGTTGTGCCCTAGAGATTCCCTCAAGCTTCTCCTTCAACCTCCCTGTTGAATTGTGACCTGGGGCAATAACTTGGGACACAACTGCCTGTGAGCCCTCCTGTGTCTGGGTTTGTGCTGATCACTGGCTCTGCATGGTTTGGTTTCAGATCTGGCAGTGTGGAGGTTCCCTGGAGATTGTCACCTGCTCCCACGTTGGCCACGTGTTCCGGAAGGCGACGCCGTACACCTTCCCTGGTGGCACAGGACATGTCATCAACAAGAACAACAGGAGGCTGGCAGAGGTCTGGATGGACGAGTTCAAGGACTTCTTCTACATCATATCCCCAGGTGAGAGGTTCTGGTCATGTTAGGGGCTGAAAGGTGCCTGAGAGAGGGAGCAGATGTGGCATGGGATGCTTTGGGTGGGGAAAGACCTTCAAGGTCATTGAGTCATTCCCAGCACTGCCAAGGCCACCACTAACCATGTCCCAAGTGCCACATCCACAGGGCTATTAAATCTCTCCAGGGATGTGACTCTACCTCTGCCCGGGGCAGCTGTGCCAGGGCTGGACAACCCTTTCCACGAAGGGATTCATTGGGAAGTTATTCCTTGTCTTTCTGTGGAGAGAAACTTCCATTCACTGCTGAAATAAGCCCAAATCAACAGAAATTTAGGGCTCCTAAATGTGCTCTTTACACACTTACAGATTTCCATGTTTGCACAAGGTTTTGATACAAATTGCATTTTGGGGCAAATTCAGACCGGAAACCTGTGTTGGCAGGACAAGGGTTTGTAGCACAAATCCTCATGTCTGTGGCTGTTTCAGGCACTGAGAAGAGTTTTGGTTTGGATGTTCTTTGTGTTTTCTGAGCTCTTTTGAAGCTCTTTATTAATATGCTGCATTAATTGGTAGATAAAATGTGCTGATGTTGTTCCCCAACATTAAGCAGCAAATGGAGGAGAAAGATATTAGGGGTTTAAAAATGAAATGAACGTTTCAACAGGAAATTCTCACTAAAAATGCTTAGGAAACTGTAGATTTTTTTAAATAGAGCATCCCAAAAACATCAGAATGTATTCCTAATAATTTAATCTGCCTTTTAATCCTTTTGCCTGGCGAGTTTATTAATCAGGGGGACAGAGCTCCCTGGCTAATTGTGTCAGAGAACAAAGCAAGTTGCCTGTTAGTAATGAGGTCTCTGAAGCTGATGTTCAGCAGCACAGACTCAGCTCCTCAGTCCTCCTCTGGGACATGGTGCAGCTGATCCCTGAGCTGCTGTCCCTGGAGAGAGAGGAGCCAAAGGCTGTGCCCAGTGCATGAAGCTCTGAGAGTAATTAGGAGCACACCTAGAATTAGATTCCAAATGAAAAGTCCTGATCAACAGAGTTGCTTGTGAAAACAGAGCTCTACTGAAAAGAGCTCAGCTGACATTCCTGGGGGTCCTGGGTGTGTTTCGACTGGTGCCTTCCCTTATCCTTGGGGAATGTGTGTGGTGGGAAGCCAATCCCACTTGCCCTGCCACAGAGCAGGGTTGGATGGGAGACTAGGAAGGAATTCCTGGCTGTGAGGTGCTGAGGCTCTGGCACAGGGTGCCCAGAGCAGCTGTGGCTGCTCCATCCCTGGGAGTGTTCCAGGCTGGATGGGGTTGGAGCAGCCTGGGCTGGTGGGAGGTGTCCCTGCCCAGGGCTGCTGGTGGCAGGAGCTGGTGGCAGCTGGAGAATGCTCTGCTCAGCTCTTCTCTCTCCATCCCAGGGGTGGTGAAGGTGGATTATGGCGACGTGTCCGTCCGCAAAGCTCTGAGGGAGAAGCTGAAGTGCAAACCCTTCTCCTGGTACCTGGAGAACATCTACCCTGACTCCCAGATCCCACGGAGATACTACTCCCTGGGAGAGGTATGAGCTGCTCCTTGGGCTAAATAAACCAGCAACTACTGGAAACCAGTAACTAAAACACACCAGGAAGTGCAGGAAACTAGTAAGCATGGGAAACGAGGAGTAAAGGAAACCAGTAATTATAGTAAACCAGTAGTACAGGAAACCAGTGAGTAAAAGACACCAGAAAGGACAGGACACCAGTAAGTAAAGGAAAGCAGAAAGTGCAGTAAACCTACAGGGCACCCATAATAAATGCATCTTGGGAGTGGATGTTCCAAGTATTGCCCATCCCAACTGAGCTTCCAGGGAGAGCAGGACACTGGAAAAGTGAGGTTTAGGACTGTGGTTTTCCCATCATGAACATGCAGTGATTGGTGGGAACTTTCCATCAGCACTTAGCACTTACAGAGCCTAAACTTGTAATGTGCCTCATTACAAATTTGCCTTGGAATTGAGCGGCATATTCCAAATGTTCCCCATCCCAACTGAGCTTCCAAAGGAAGCAGGACATTGGAAAAGTGAGGTCTGGAACTAATGTCTTCCCAGCACAAATATGCAGCAGTTGAAGGGAACTTTCCATCATCACTTAGAGCCTAAAAAATACTTTTTTCCCTCTCAAAGAAATCTGTTTGTTCTCTGAGTGTTTTCCAGCCAGGCTGCCTGGAGCTGAGCACCACAGATATTCCTAATAATCCACTAATTCCAGTCCCACCAAGGGCTGAAAACTCTTTCAGTCCAACTAATTCACTGGTAAAAATATCCTCTTGGCTTGTACCTACACTGACTTTTAAAACCTCTTGAACAGGTTGATTTAATATCACAATAGCAATCAAATGAGGGTTTTTATGACATCCAGGAAAGTCATTTCCCCTTGGAATTTGCCATTGTAGTGGGAAAGAAAAGGCACTGTAGGATTCCCACTTCAATTGGGCCAGGACAAGGTGGTTGTAGAGCAAGGCAAGAACTCATCTGACAAGTGTCAGACAAGGTGGGAACAGCCTATATTGTCAGGCTGGGAAAGAGAAGCCTGAGAAAGTCATAAACCAGTTATTAAACACCTGATTTTTGCCAGTGTGGTCTCAGTTTCTATGGGAACAGCTCTGGATTGAAGCTCCTGATTGGCTCTTCCTGCTCTGCTAGTCGAGCAGGGAAGGGATTTTAGCTCTGAAGGGACCAAGAGCAGAATGGGCAATTTTTGCACCACCACAGGTGCATTTCTCCCTCATTTTCCTCCCTTGCAGCAGAGGTTTAGGCAGGATTTAACCACAGGCCACAAACTTATTCCCTACTACAATCCAATCCAGATACAACATGCTCAGCACTGAGGCTCAAATGAGACTGTGCAAGTGCATGTTGTTCTTGTCTAGTACAAACAGGGAGAAAATGAGTGAGTAATTGTGTCACATTTGGGATAATCATCCTGAAGTCACTCATGGCATGGCGTGGAACGGGAAACGTGGAGTGCTGGGTGCCTTGCACTGCCCGACGTGTGGAGATAACAGCAGGGTCGATTTGCACTCATTTGGAGTTTCCATGGCTCTTGCACAATGTCTTGAAGTGAAATTGGGCAAATGTGGAATAACCTGAAGTGTGGAATGGCCTCAAGATGAAAGAGGAGAGATTTAGGTTGGATATCATGAAGAAGGGTATTAGGAGCTGCTGGAGCAAATCCAGAGGAGTCCATGGAGATACTCCAAGGGTTGAGACCCTATGGAGCCAGACTGGGAGAGCTGGGGGTGTCCACCTGGAGAGGAGAAGCTGCAGGGAGA